TATATATATATATATATATATATATATATATATATATATATATATATGTGTGTATATATGTATGTGTGTGTGTATGTTATAGCATGTATATACTATTGGTGTTAAATTCAGTGTTGTAAATCATTTTATTACCAAATTAAACTATCTGACAGTATGTATTAATTATTGGTGTTTGTAATTTAATACCTAATATAATACATTTTGTATGGTATCACATTTTGTCAAATTTTAGAATTAAATTAAATGAACCATTTATTTATTAATAAATCACCACAAGGGTCTATATCATACATATTTTTAATTTACAAATAAATAATTATTATTTGCAAGAAAATTCAATTATGGGTCTTATGAATAAAGATTTGGCCATCGATTATGTACAGTGAAAACTATGTAATGCGGACCCTAAATAAAACAGAAAACTATCCAATACGGAATTTTTCTATGGTCTCGGCATGTTTCCAAAGTTTTATATAGTCGTTGAGCCTCAGTAAAACGAAACCTTCCTAACGCGGAAACGGAACGGTTTTTTAGGTACAATGCAAGTAAAAACCTTGCATAAGCCGGAAATGTGACACCCGTCATATTACGTTGATATAAATATGTAGATGTACATCGTATTTTTTGGATATCGTATCTGCGAAACAAACTTATCCCGTAGGTATGTATAATTTATAGCTGTGAAACAGTTATGCACCAACAATTTGCTTGTACATACTAAGTGATGTCCATTCAAATACATATAATATTGGAAAAATAGCAACATAAGTGACAAAACTAAAACCTTACATGAGTTTTGGAAAAATTAAATGTTTTAATTTACTCTCAACCTTTATACTTATGTGTTATGTATAAATTGTTAATAATTTTGTAAGAAAATTAATCTATAATAATCAATCTAAATTAAGTTATAGAAAGTAAAGTAATTAATTAAGCTTAAAATTAGTCTCTAACTCGAAAAATAAAAGTTATAAATGTTGTAAACTAATTTTTTAACGTGAAAAACTGATACGAATTTATAATCCAGAATTTTTTGGTTTTATTCAATAAAGCGGAAAACTGCTTAAAGCAGAATTTTTGATTGGTCCCATGCTGTTCCGCATTATACAGTTTTCACTGTACCTATAATTAAACTAACTGCTACATATAAAATATGTATTTGAAATCTATTTTTGATGCTTTCTTGCTTATTCTATTATATTCATGATTTTTAGTTTTCATTAAAGATTCTATGTGTCCTGTAGTTTACGGGATTGTCCCGTTTTTGAATGAAGTATCTCGGTGTCCCTACAAAAGTTTTAAATAATGCTTATATTCTGTATTTTGGATAATCCGTCTTGTATAATTGTATGTACCTTATTTTAAAAATTAAATTTTTTTATATCATTTAGGTTTTTAAATTTCAAATTATTGATAACCTGTAATATCCAAATCAAATAGTAATTAATATATATTATTTGATTATGATTGTGTTTAACTTTATTTTATAGTATATTTAGTACCTAACTGTGAAGAAAATTAAATGTTACATCGAGGACAAATGTAATTTTAGCTAGGTACCAAATGTTTATAAAGAATTTATATAACAAACATCATGTATTTAATTTTGTAATATTTTAATTGCTAATATAAGACCCATCACACCCTCTCCAAATTACACCAGTACAAATTGCAAGTATAGATATAATTTAAAAAAATAAATAAATCTGGGATCTCTAGATTGAATGAGTGGGCATTTTAAGTTGCTTTAAATAGAACGTATTTTGTATTAGTATGTCAATTATGTTTATTAACATTTATCAATTTATTATTCAACGATTTGTAGTGTATTTTTGGGCCATTATAATCACAAGCCTACTGGATTTAATGAAGTCCTATAAAAAAAAAAAAAAATGTATCAGATCAAAAGTCATGAAAAAATAATACATGGATTTTCATAAGTTGTTTGTACTGAAATTAAAAAAAAAAGTACCACAAAAGCTCCTACGGGGATGGCCTTAAATGGTGATGACAAAAAAAAATATATATGGAAAAATTATACCCAGAGATTTATCTCAATAATAATTATAATATTGTGACCTGTAAAAGGGACGGGTGACCAAATAATAAATATAATATAAACAAATTTGGTTTACGCACCGTCGTGCTATAATATTATATAGGTACCTAATAGAAATACTCGTATTGAGGTAATAAATTAATAATAATAATAAAAATTAGGGCGCCAAAATAATATGACAAAAAAGAATCGGTATACGACAAAACAAAGAATAATATATTTATGGATATTACTAATATCGACGACTCGGATTTTGACCAATGTGATCGCGTGAAATCTCCGCTGCAGCAACACCGGTATAGATTATGCTGTAGGTACACTGCCCACTCATGAACTCCACGGTCAAATAATAACAGGTAGTTATATATATATATTAATGTCTGCGCGGCAAGAACAGCGGATCCAACGACGGCACACACGTTATAAAATAATACGGGTGCAACGATAGAAATTGTTGATGGCACATAGGCCAAGGGTTTACGACAACGTCTCGAAGATGTCGTACGAGACCAGCGAGCGAGTGTGTTCCCATTTGACAACGGTGGTCAAAGCAGCGAATGCCATATTATGAATGAACAAATAAATACAATCATTTTTAAAAACACTTTAAGTTAAAATTTTGCCAAATTTATCTCAAATGTGAACAATTTAAATAATTTATAACATTTTTAGTATGTATACCTAATATTTGAAAATTTGTATGTTGCGTGTAATTTCACAAATAAACTTGGATATTCATAAGTAAGATTATGATTTTCCTAGTATATTTTGGAGTATTAATTGAAGAAATTGTTGTATAATTATTGAAACTATTTTTAATTACTCAATAAAATTATCAAAATATTTAGATGTATTTTAAGATAATTAAATGAATTTAAACATTCTAAAGTTTTTTTCTTTTAAGTAGATAAGATTTTTCGGTCTAATTAAAAAGTTAAGCTATTTAAAACAAGATCCAATATAATTGTTCTTTCAGCAATTTGAAAATGTTGTTTTGATAGGTACAGTTTAATATTTATTCAAAATTTGATAAAATTATGAAAATTTGTGTTTTTAATTATAAAATAACATATTTCCAATTTTTATACCTAAAGCTTGACATTTCAATACAATTTTATTCATGAATATCTGAAGTTCTGTTGTAATTCAAAAATATTTGTTAGACTTGAAATTTTCACATATATTATTATATTTTTTTTATACAATAACTTGCAAAATAATAAGATTTATTTTAAGCCACTGTCTATTTACACTAAATTACTTAATTAAAATAAATTTATTTATAAACAATGTAAATGGAAGATTAAGTATTTATAGTAATATGGATAGACCACTCAGAATTGATTTTTTCACGCAGCAGCTTATCAGTTAATTCAAATTTAAAACATCCATAACAATGACCTTCATTGCAAAGTGAATTAATATTTTTCTGTAAAGTAGTAACTAAATTAAATCAAATCAGAGGTTTAATATTTTTGGTGTATTTTTTTTTTCAAATTTATTTATAAACCATGGTTAATAGTTAACTCAATTCAGAGCATTTATATTGTTTTATACATTTAAAAATAATGCTTATTCATAACAAATTTTATACTTAAAAAATGTTCAATTTTTGTTTAAAAGTAAATGATTTGTCTTAAATAATATTTTATGCAACAGAAATTTCTATTATGTAAAATAAAAATATTTTACTATTAAAAATATATTTTTTTAGCTCATTCAAATTGTACACAAAAATTTACAAAATTGACCATTAATAGGTAAAATACTAGAAAAACTATTGAAAAAAAAAAAAAAACAAAAAACATTTAAACAAAAATTTCTTTATATACATAAATAATACACAATATATTATTTTTAAAAGACAATAATAAAATAAATATAGTTTTTAAATTTATTAAGTATGATACTGTTGAAGCTGCTTAATATTTATGAATTAAACTGGAGAGGATACCATACTAGACTTTTTTCCTTTCTTTTTATCTTTGGGTTGATTTTTTATTGGTACTGATGTTATCAAACTCTCAGAGGAATCATCACTATTTTCTTGATCGTCATAATTTTTGTTTGTACCATCACAATAATGCTCATCATTAATACCTAATGATAGCTGTTCTAATTTTACTTGAAGATTTTGAATTCTTTTAGTTGAACTTTCACGTTGTGTTTCTAACATTTGAAGCATAGGTTTAGCCACTGTTTCCAACATATGTATCCCAGATAATGTATATACTAAAAACCAAAATATTACTAATAAAATTTCCATTTCTTTATTTAACTGAATTATGTAAGTATGATATAAAAAAACTTTCTATTATAGTTTTGAATGGATGGGGGCTTATTTATAAAAATAAGTAATCCCATTATAAAATTAATAAAAGTAAAAAGAATACAACTTATCAAATAAATATTTAAAATTTGGTCTTCCGAATATACAGCTTATTTTTTTTGCAGGATAAATAATTAACTATACTAGTAAGAATAAAAAATAATATGGGAAAAGTATTTCTTTTTTTTTTTTACAGATTTATTAAATAACGGAAATATAGCTAATACTTAAGTGGTCAATTCCATATCATATTACATAAAATTATAGTTAAAAAGCTTTTTTCGTGATAGAATGTACCTGAATCATTATGAAGCTGAGCCATTGGACTAATGTCACCTTCATTTGCTTCATTATAATTTTTTATGAGTTCGTCATACAATGTTTCAATATGCTTGACAATTACCTAAAAATATTAACACAAATTAATTATGCTTATAAATGATTTTTTGAATGAAAAAAAAATATGTGCTACACAATTTATAATTATAAAAATGATTAAATAGTAAATTAAAATTTTTTAAATATTTACAAAAAACAAAATTTTAGATCAATTTCCCATCATAAATATTTCTCAAGCTTAAGTTGAAATTGTTGACTTGTAATATTTTCAAAATTTTGGAATATGCTATCAGTTTGTTTAATAAAAATATAAATAAATCATGTCCAAACCTGTTAATAACTTAAATTTAATATCAAGTACTTAAAACTGTTATTTATATAAAATATTGACATTAAAACGGTTATTTGTTTAATATGAAAATTACTTTCAAACAGATTTGGAGTTTTTTTTTTTTATTGATAATTGTAAGTGTAGAAAATGCCCATATTATTTTGTATCTTTTTAGTATAATTCAAGTGAAAATTATTATATATTAATTTATTTGTTTAATGCAATAGTAAAAATCATAAATTTATAAGTCAGCAACCAAATCAATATGATGTCATAAATATTAAGATAAAAAAATAAAAAATAATAATCATAATTAATAAGATAATGACGAATACAATAACATGTTTAAATATGAGAGAAAGAGGGGTTAAGATTAGTTAATAAGATACATCAGTGAATAAATTTACTCATATTAAATTATATTATTATAAATTATAATGTTTATAATAAGTAGTTGACCTCAAATTTATATAATTAGAATTAATTAAGCATAGTATTTGATTAAACATAAAAATATAAAAAAGTAATTACCTCAAATGACAATTGGCTGGTACAGGTTGTAGGTGCAACTTGAAATTTAACATCTATTCTGTTCACCGTACCATTTATTTGTTTTGCTTGAAAGCATACTGTTTTCATTTCTTTCATCTAAAACAAATAATTTACAATACTGTATTATCATTATTATTTGTATTTATACTTACAGCCAAACCAGTACACTTTAATATCTTACATACCTAATAAAACCTCATACCTAACTTAAAATAAACATTAATATTTATTGCTTTTTTACCAAATTTAATAACTATTTACTAAGTTGTTTTAATTATATTTTGGATATTTTAGTTGCATAACTATACGTATACTATTATTTTTTTAGATATTTAATGAATAAATTATGAAATTTCGACATGATATACGGACATGTATTTATTTATAGACTGAGGAAAAAAGTTCATTTTATTGGTCATATTTTCAAAGAAAATTAAATTAAATCAAAATCATCTACAGGCATAATGATGAAAATAAAAAAAACTGAATGAATTTGTGTTATAAGGTTTTAACACAATATTATATGTAAAAAACTGAATGAAAGCAAATCATATTCAAATTGTTATTAAATTCTTAGTAAGTTAATTTTATGTTAAGCAACCATGTTCTGGTTTGTAATTTAGAATTTACCATCATAAATTCATAAAAACATAAAGCAGAAAAATAAAAAATGTTTAGATCATAAAATTAATTTTTATATTAGTAACTAATAAATAGAATTGAGTATAATTTAGAAGCCATTTACAAAAGTTATAGTTACTATTCCAGCATCAATATTTAAAATATGTAAACAACATTTCAGTTAATTAATGAAATTATTTTACTATCAAATATGAATACAGTGGATTCCGCTTAATGTGGCCACCGGTTAATATGGGCATCCGCTTATTGTGGGCAAACATGTCTGGTCCCAATACAAATGTATATTAACAATGTCAAATAAAACCGCGTAATATGGACACTCGATTCGGTTTATGTGGGCAATTTTTTTTTATCATAGCGTTAGAATATACACATAAGTATTTAAAAACGATTAATTTAATCGGGTTCCGTCGTATCTATGAGATTGTGTTTATCGAAAGTAATAAAAATCATTACCATTCAAATAAACAAATTTCGCCAAAGAGAGGCGAAAAAGTGCATTGATTTCTTGCAGAAGTTCTTCATGCAAGAGGGAAACGAAAATAGTCCGTCTGATAAACTTGAAGCGTGTGCCTATTTTGTCAACTAGATCCATACTAAACAGCTTAGACAACGAAAAATTACAACGTTTTGTATACCTTCTACATCCAAAGATTAATTTTATTTAATATATTATATGTATTTAGTTTTATTTATATATCTAGTAATTATTTAAAATTTTTTTCAATTATATGATAATACAAATATATTTTTTTATTATAATTTTTTTTTTTTTTTTACTAATTTCGGTTTTTATGGGCAACCGCTTAATGTGGGCAAACAGGGCTGGTCCCAACGTGCCCACATTAAGCGGAATTCACTGTATAGCTCCTGATCTTTTAGCCATAAATTGTAGTACACCACTCAAGGGATTTCATATTAAAATATATCTTGCTAGTAGTTATTTAAAGTCTTAAAGGTAATTATTTAGCTGATTTGAATAGCAAACTAAATACTAATAATACAATACAATGAATAATTTAAACATTTTTTTTTTTTAATAATAAAGCAATTATTCATACAATTTTTAAAAAGTAAATCATACTTTTATAATTTTAAAAATTATATTTTAGAATTATATTAATATTTATTTACATAACACAGCTAATATGATGATAGTTTTTATTGGGCTAATAAATGTAATATACAAATTAAATGAATTCTAAATTTTTTGAAAATTTACAAATTAATAAATTGAATAGTCATATTGAATAATTGGTACAATATTAAAAATATTTGGTTAAAAAATGTTTGCATTTCAAACACTGTAAAATACTATTTCATATCTCACATTATCATTAAAACAGTACTATACTCAATTTGTCTAGATCTAACTGACAAAAATGTCTTCCATGCAAGTAAGTACTTATGTGATTTATTTTCTTACCATTGTTGTAGTGTCTGTATTATATGATGAACAAATTATACCAATGAAACATGAATCCATATTTTGTAAGTTCAATTGAGTTTGCAAATCTAAAAAATTATAAAAATTCAAATTAAATGTAAACTATATTTTTTTTTAAATAAATAACACATCATTGTAATAAGTAAAATAATATTTTACATACATATATGGTAGCAGTGGCGGATAGGCCCACCGGGAATTCGGGATTTTCCCTTTGACCATTTAACAAAAACCTAGTGTGATGAAGAATGAAAATAATAATTTTAATAAAGTTGCAAATTGATAAATTTAATATTTTTAACCACTCTACAAGTACAAGAAAAATACCATAATCATTTAGGTATAAAGTATAAACAATATTTGTTTTTGTTCCCCGTATCGGCCGTGTTATTGGGAATATTGAGATTTATTTTGAGATTAGAGTTATAGAAAACCGTATTTAATATCGGTAGTTGCTGTACTATATAATGATTATAATGTACCATTGTACCAATGTGGTTATACGTAAATTGAGTATTTATTACTTTTCGTAAATTATTTTTGTTCTATTTTCAGATAATACATGTTTTTCATAATGTTATCGCTCGTAGTTTGTAGTGCTCGAACAGTATAATAATAATACGATATATAAATATATTTACAATTCTGCTTATACGAGTCGGGTTTTATCAATTCTATAGTTCAATAGTTGTATACATACGGGCATACGACTGTGTGGCACTGTAGCGCGTGTTCCGGTATTGGTGAACAGTGTCGTTTTGTGTATCTTTATTAAAAATTAAAAATAAAAACAAAAATGCATAAACAACGGTTTCAAAGTAAACACTCTAAAAGAAAGGCGAAACAAAAAGAGGTCTTAATTGCTTGTAGAAACGACAAAAATCAAAAAAAAATTTGCTTTTTCCCATCTATTAAACAAGGTAAGAATAAAATTCAAAATTAAGTTTTATCTCACGTGTTATACATTGCTTCTGCTAATTTCAGTTATTTAAAATATATTACTGAAAACCATGTCAAATATTAATGTATAGAACTATTGAAGTATTACCTTCTTTATTTTGATAATTTTTATCTAGTTGTTAAAAAAAAATGTTGAATAAATCCAATTTTTATAGAGAATTAAATAAATGCCTTTTTAATATAACAATTAAACTTAGTTTATACAAAATGATTAAAAAAAATCCTTGCCTAGACCTTTCATATCCTAGGCCGACACTGTAAATAATACAAATAATATAAGTATATAATATAATATTATACTCTTACATGATTTAAAACAATAAAAAATAAACAAATCTGTATTAAGAGTACCTGTATTACTTATTATATAGTTTTGTATTGTATTGTTATATTAAAATTAAATGTCGCTCACGACTTATTTTTTGGAGGCCTTTATTCAAATTACTTCCCGGTAAAAAAATATAAGCCTATCCGCCACTGTATGGTAGTTTATAAAAATAAAAAATACCATTTATTATGAAGAATGTAATGCATTTGCTAAAACTTTATAATTTACTACTAAGTAATTTAATCACAGTAGGTTTTGTGTATTTCTTTTTAAAATTTTAAGTCCTTTTAAATAAGCTCCGTAATAGATATTATTGTCTTAAAAAAACATAATTATTGGCTTTCAGATGATAATTAAGTCATAAGTTTGTAAAATAATTTTAAAAAACGTGCATAAATCGCAAAAATATTGAAAAAAGTGAAAATACAAACGCAGATATTTTTAACTTTAAGTTTGCCAAGAAGTTGATTTATTCTTATATTAATGCTAAAAAACACAAAATTGATTTTGTTTAATGAAAATTTGTTATGGTGTGCATATATTGAAGAGAAAACAAATTGTGGTTTGTATGCTTAAATAATTTGTTATGTATTTCTATATAAATTTAAAATATAGAAAAAAATTAATTTTAAACTTTATCTGTTGTTTTCGATTTACTAAGTATTATATGAAACTATTAACATAAAAAAATTTGAATTGAAAAAAAGTATAGTTAACCTAAAATATTTAAACTATAAAGAATTTTAACTATAGATAAATTAAAGAATTAAGTAATACATTAATCAAATTATTTAATTAAAAAAATTGATGACAAGTTTAAATTTCAAACACTTTTGACATATTGAATATTTTATCAAAATAATGAAACAGAAAACTCATAAATTGCTAAATATTTTTATACAAATTTATAGCTAAAACAATAAGTTATACAGAATGAACATTTTACATGTTGAGCTTGATAAATTATCTATAAAATTTGATTTCTATATTTTAAAAAATATAGAAATTTTGAAAGAATTAATATTTGATATGGGTATTAAAATAATTTTTAAAAAACTATGAGAAATTTTTTAATCACTACCTAATATTATGAAGGAATAACTAATTGACTCGATAGCAATATAATTAAAAGGCAAATTTACATTTAACAATACAAAAGAGTCAAAAGAAAAAGTTCATAAAGACATCAAATATTATAAAAATTGAAAAAATGTGGATAAATCTAAATATATCTTTAAAATTATAATAATTATTATGGTAAAAAAATGTATACCATGTATATGCAACAATTATTCAAGTATAATTTTTATGAAGTAGCATCTACTAATTTACACTCAAATTTAAATAAACTCAATATATAATGTAAATGCTTATTTTTTAAATAAAAATTATAAAAATAAAATTAAAATTATCAAGAAATCAATCTTAGAGTTATTACAACCATTTTATACTTTCATATATTTCTAGAAGTAAAAAAATATTAGTTATTTTAATTTTCTGGAAAAAGCCAGTAATGATTTATTTTTCTTTTTTGCTTTAAAAATAACTTATAAAATGTTCTCCTTATTAGATTTTTTCCATAAAATCATGACAGTTTAAAATTCAATGTTTTGTTAATTTTAAGAAATAGTGAGGAATAATTCAACTATTAACTATTTTTAATATATTATGAATAATTGTTGTTTCAGTTATTTATTCAGTACCTATTTTATATGCCAGAATCTCTCAACCAACCTTAGAAATAATATTTTGTTAATAAAAAAAAGGTAACTAGGCCACTTCATTGTTCTAAAAAGTATTAAAATAGAACTTAATAAATCTTACAATTTGTATTATAAATATTTAAAGAATTTTTTGCATAAAAAACAGTAAAAAATAAACAAAACTGATAACAACTACCGTATCACTATGGTCTATGATGTTGGAATGTCTAATAATTAGATAGGCATAATAGGAATTATCATTAAAACATTAAGTAATTTGTAATATGTTCAATTTTCTTTTACTTTTTCTTTTTTTAAACTAAAATAAATAAGTTTGATTTTAATTGAAATGCTAATGAGCCAAAACTGGGAAAATACCACTCAACAGCTATATCACACAATTTTATGATACATAAACAAAATTTTAGACTTAATTGTCTATATTTTTCTGTATACTTTAATTATCAAATAATACTATGTAATCCGAGTCTCGTGATTATTATATTGTACTATAGTAATATTATAATGTTATTAATGTATGATACGCAAAAAATTAGGTACATACTAATTATAAACATTATTTATAATTATTAAATACTCACCGACATTAGATGGCCACACAGTGATATGAGGATGTGAATGATACCAGCCAATGACATTTAAGTTAGCACCTTTGATGCTGGAAAAGTATTTGGCATCTTCCATAGCGTTTACCAAGTCTTCAGACATGATTTCTACACGGTCCTTTTTGATCTCTCCCCGAGGCGGTATAGACAACGCTGACACAGACACGGTGGTTCCATTCTCATGTATTATTTTCTAAAACAAACCAGCAATGAGTGGACACATTTGTGGTGCGTACAGAAAAACCTTGCATCAACACACGCTTACTTGACCAATGAGCAGAGCAGCAACCTCTTCCTTTTCCGTGAGCAGAGCCAAGTTGTGGCACATCATCAAAACTTCGTCTGATATGAACACGTCGGTTAGCTGATCCAACTGTTTATTCATGATTGCTGTGCTCAAACACTTCGCGCCAATCGTCAAATCGTCACGACACCGATCGTCGTGCTGATGCGACGGTTAGCAGCAGGAAACAAAGAGCGACGACGAAAAAACTTAAAAGTATATAATAATGCAATACTGTACAAGTCTAACTAAGACTGTTTAATTATCTATTTATCTCGCTTCGGCCGTTCCACCATCATTTGTTACCAAGTGCAAAAGAGCCGGGAAACGAATGCGTATCGCACTGTACACATAGCAGTTATCAATGTCCCTCCTTATGCAGATAACAATATTATTAACTGCTATTATCTATATCGTGTAATTTTCTATTAGTTCGAGTAAAGAAGAAAGAAAACTAATAAGTTCCCTCAATATCGTTATTCTTTCATAACCACCCACTGAACGAGATTATTATTACTCGTTTTCATTCATTTTTTCTCTCAAATCGACAATCGAAATCGCGTTGCCTAGGTACGGATAGCTGCGTACGCAACCAATTTGTTTACACAACTATAAACAAAAAAAAAAAAAAAAATCGTTTTCCCGATCAGTAAAGTGAATCTGATATCGGTATCACCACGCCACTAGCTTCGCTACTTTGTTACAGTCACTCATCATCGATCCAGTGGTCATTTACATCGGTAAAATAATCACAAACAGTACGTTTCCTTTGCGTTCTGGAATCGATTATATATTTTATTGCCGATTTGATCACTCTACGTCCGTCCGATATCTTTTGACGTTCGCTATTGATTTGTCGACCGACTGCCACAAACCGCCGCACCGACTTTAGGTTGGTGTGAAAGACCATAAGTTATGATTATTTTTTTTTGTTATCACTAAATTCATTATTGGGCCATTTCTTTGAAAATTTAGCAGTAAAGCGTTTGAATATGGTCCCCTTCAACAAACACTTATAACTATTTTATGTTTTGTTTAGATTGTTGTTATTATTATAGGTTACAATAAGTCAGAATAAAGATGCCAGCTACAAACCGAAAAAAGTCTGGAGGAAACAAATTTGAGTTTAGTGAAAAACAGCTGGCTGATATAAAAGAAGCTTTTGAATTGTTTAATGTAGATGGATCTGGGTCAATCGAAACCAAAGAGTTAAAGGTATTTAGTTTCATCAATGTATTAAATTAATTTTACTTAATAGGTCATCATTTTTGATTTATAATTAACTATTGTCACTCAGTATTATCTCAAAAATAATGTGGTATTAATTAAGTTAAAAATTTTAGGTAGCCATGAGGGCTTTGGGATTTGAACCAAAAAAAGAAGAAATCAAACGTATGTTGCTTAATATAAATAAACAACATGCTGGTAAGTTATTTTTTTAGTGATCATTTTTTTTTTTTAATAAGTAACTAGAAACCTTCAAATAATTGTAATGAATATAAAATAACAATTAATTAATCAATATTAAATATATTATTTAGGTGTCATAACGTATGATGATTTTGTTACTTTGATGTCGATAAAAATGACAGATAAAGATTCAAGAGAAGAAATTATTAAAGCATTTAAACTGTTTGATGATAATTGTACAGGAAAAATAACATTTTCCAATCTAAAACGTATAGCTCAAGAATTAGGCGAGAATATTGCTGATGAAGAACTTCAGGTGAATATAAATTGTTTCAAACATAAATATATTAATTATTATTGCTAGTTTATGCTTAGTTGTGTTAAATTATACAGATATACAGAAGCTAAAGGTAAAAATAGTAAGATCGGATACATGTAATAATATAATAATTTGTATATTGATATGAATAACTATAGTGTTCCGAGGCGTAATATAAAGCAACGACTAATCGTCCTACATGCTACTCCATAGAATTAATATGCTATAGAAATATAAAACGCCTATTCAGCGTCTGCTGTACTACAGTGTGAATAATTTGCTTATAATCTACATAATACAGAGTGTATTGTTTACATTCAACACTTCCCCTTAAACAATATACCCTAACTTATAATTAATATTTCTAATTCCCAACATCTCCCCGAGTTCTTGAAATCTTGGTCATGGAGTTGGCTTGGTCAATATGTCATCTAACTGCTCCTTACTTGGAACATACTCCAGAGAAAACATCCCTTCACTAAACTTTTCACGAATGTAGTGATAGTGAACATCAATGTGTTTTGTTTGCTTATGGTATTCTGGATTTTTCACTAGTTTGATGGCGCTTTGGTTGTCTGCATACAGAACCGATTTATCTCCCTGTGTCTCTAGAAGATCACTGATAAGTAGCGTCAATCAAGTAAGTTCCTGTATCGATTGGCTCAGCGCTATGTATTCTGCCTCAGTAGTCGAAAGTGCTACCGATTTTTGCCTTTGTGAACACCATGCTACGATTCCATCTCCCATCATGAAAATGAATTCTGATGTTGATGTGTCACCAGCATAGTCTGCGTCACTATATACACGCAACTTTGGTGTTACACTAGAATCATATATTAAACCATAATTAAATGTCCCCTTTAAATATTTAAATATAAGTTTCACCGCATTCTAATGAATTGTCATAGGCCTTTCTAAATAACGACTGACGAGATTTACTGCAAAAGTTATGTCAGGCCTTGTTATTTGGTTTAGATACAACAAACTTCCAACTGATTTTCCGTATGGAACTTCTCCTGCTTCCAATGATCCTGACAAATTTGAATCTAATGAGTGTTGTGGATCTGTGGGAATATGCAGGACGTTGGCTTCTTCCATATTGAACCTCTCTAAAATGCGCTTGCAATATGATGATTGGTGTATGAAAATTGAACCATCAGGTCTTTGATCAATTTCAATACCCAAGAAATGATCAAGTTCACCTTCCTTCGTCTCGAAGTTGTCCTTTAGGTAGTTCACCATTGTGTCCACCAGATCGTTCTTTGTTGCTGCGATTAGCCAATCGTCTACAAAAATAGTGATAATTAATGATTGATTATTTTTATTGCTTACGAATACACAAGGGTCTGCTTTTGTTTCCTTCAGGTCAAAGTTCATCAGCATATTTTTGAACTTTTTGTTCCAGCACCAGGGTACCTGTATCAGCCCATATAGATTCTGTTGAAGTTTGCATACTAATTGTGTTCTATCTTCGTAACCTTTTGGCTGTTTCATATAAATGTTATCTTCAAGATCTCCATATAAGAACGCTGTTTTAATGTTAAATTGTCTGAGTATTAATTTTCTGGCTGCTGCTATCGTAAGTATTACTAGAATTGAATCGTATTTCACTAGAGGACTAAACGTTTCTTGAAAATCTATTCCATGAACTTGCGCACAGCCTTTTACAGCTAGCCTAGCTTTATATCGATCTACTTCTTCATTTGTTTTATACTTAGTTTTATATATCCACTCATTATTTATTGGATTTTTATTTATTGGTAAATCTACTAATTGCCAAGTTTCATTTTTCTGCAATGATAACATTTCGTCGTCCATTGCTGCCTTCCAATTGTCTACATTGATTGTTACCTGTCATAGCTTCTTTATACGTAAGTGGGTCATTACATGCTGAGAAAAATGCATCTCTATACCTAATAGGTTTATTGAGTTTTCCTCTGTCTCTGAGTATCATCTGTTGTTGATCTTCTACTGCTACTGGCTTCTGTTTATCATCGTCCAGTTTTTCTTCGTCGTCGCAGTTGATTTTCTCATCTTCAGCTTCACCTTCCGAATTTACTTCTTCCTCTTCTTCTTCATTTATGATTTATACTTTTGTGGCTGTTGATGGGTTTACTAAATCTTCTTTGAATATGACATCTCTGCTTAATGAATCTTCTTTTCCATCAAAGCATATACGATATCCTTTCGTCTCCTCTGAGTATCCAACAAAAATACCTTTTCTTCCCTTCTGATCCCATTTTCTTCGTTTTTCTTTTGGTATATGTGCATAGACTTCACTACCAAATATTTTTAGATTATTTATGTCTGGTGTTTTATTGAACCATAATTCATAAGGCGTTTTTCCTTCTTGACCTGTGTTTCCTGTACGATTTATTGTATATACGGCTGTATTTACTGCTTCTGCCCAAAATGTCTTGGACAAATTTTTGCTGTATACCATAGTTCTGGCTGCTTCTACAATTGTTTGCATTAATCTTTCCGCCTTCCCATTTTGCTGAGGTGTGTTTAGTACATTCGTCTCATGTTTTATTCCAAATTTATCAAGTATGGCTTTTACTTCAGTATTCTTATATTCCAGACCACAATCACTTCTTAATGTAATACTGAAATATTTAACTGATTTTTGACCGTATTTAAAAATAGTTCAAGTTTATTTTTAACTTCTGATTTTTTTTTCATAAAATACACATATGTATAATTAGAATAATCATTCTTGAATATAACAAAATACCGTTTACTTCCAAGAGAATTTTCTTCCATGGGGCTACATACATCACTGTGAATTAACTGACCTGGCTTAATAGTTTTAGAATCACTTAATGTGAATGGTTTTCTGTGTTGTTTACCATAAATGCAAGCTTCGCAGGAAAATTTGTTTTTTGTTTCTATATATGGAATCCGCATATGTTTAAAGTAGCTTCGAACATATTGGACATTCTGATGACTTAACATTTCATGCCACTAAAGTAACGTCAGAATTTTAACTTCAACATTTGCTTGTTCAGCTTGATTTAATGGTTATATTCTCTGAACCATTGAAAACATTTTATTCTCACAAGATCCAATAGCAACTACACGATTGTCCTTTTTAAATGTACAATCATCACTGTCTGTCGTCATTTTTATACCTTTGTCAAAGCACGCTCCACACGAAAACTAATTTACCTTAAGATCAGGTACATGTAAAACGTTTGATAAATAACTATCAACCCATTTATCATTGATTTTCACTTGAATATTTATATTACCTTTATCGCATGCCAAGATAAGTTTACCATCACCAATACGTACTGGTAACTGCACTTCAAATAATTCGTAACTACTGAACCATTCTTTTCTACTGGTCATGTGATCGCTTGCACCTGAATCCACATACCATTTTTCTGAATCGCATATTTCGATGTCTTTTGATTTTACTCCGACCAACGCATTTCCTGTGTTTGACTCGTTTTTATGCTTTTCTTTTTGTTCCTTTAAGAAAATCCGGCATTCACGCTTCCAATGCCCTGGTTTTTTGCAATGATTACACTTACCTAGTTTTTTATCATTGTTTCGTTGTTTTTCAGAATAGGCAATTTTTATATGTTTTTCTTTAAATGTTCCAAACGATTTCTTTGTAGAAAATGCACTGCTACTTGCAGTATCTTTCTGTGCATCATATCCTTGAGTTTGCCTTGTTTCCTCTACCATGAGTCTAGATGATAAATTAGACTAAATGTTTTATCCACATTTGGTATCGAATCCCATGCACTGTAGAAATATTTATAGTTTTCTGGCAAAGTCATTAATATTTTGGTCATAAGCATTGACTCAGATGTTGGTTCACCCAGTTGTTTTAATTTTCTTCTAAGACCTTCCAATTTTGAGATATAACTTGCCATATTGTCATCTGGGTTCATAACATAACTGTAGATTTTTGTTGGATTAGCGTTACACTTGAGTCCGATTTTTGTTCATATACGCTAAGCAACTTGTCCCACATCTCTTTAGCCGTGGAACAGTTCATTATATACTGTAGTGGTTGTTCGTCCATTGACGTGACAAAAAAATTTGGAGCCTTGTTATCCGCTCTTGTAAATATTAAATAATCAACATCATACCTCTTTCTTGCATCATCTTCAGTTCCTGTACTTAATTTTGTAAGAACAGGTATTGTAGTTTTTCCGGACACGACGTCAAATATATCATCTGCCTTCATGGTCACTTTTATTTGGAATTTCCATTTTTCACAATTTTCATTGCCCGTTAGTTTATAAATTTTTATAGATTCGTTTTCATAATAACGAATTATCTGTACACTGTCTGTACACTATATAAATGTAATAATAACAAACACAGTTTCTGCGCTTCACACGAACGATCCACTTACACTACACTGCACAATACTTCGCGAATTATTATTGCTGTACATTGTCTGTACACAAACACGCGATTCGTAAACCAATAATTAATCTATTGAACATACTCGACTTTATTATAAAAACCTTACAACTGGGCCCATAACCTGTTAAATTATACAGATATACAGAAGCTAAAGGTAAAAAAAATAAGATCGGATACATGTAATAATAGAATAATATGTATATTGATATGAATAACTATAGTGTTCCGAGGCGTAAAATAAAATGCCTATTCAGCGTCTGGTGTAAATAGTGTAAATAATTTGCTTATAATCTACATAATACAGGGTGTGTTGTTTACATTCAACAAGTTGTTTCCTGAGGGTAAATTGTAGTAACCCAGTAGGATGTGGCTCGTTGGTTTAAACCTTAGCTACGGACAGACTCTTTACATAAACAGTAAAATGTCAAAAGAGAGACTTCCACTTGTCCCCCTTTTCCACTGTGCAGAAGGACACAAATAACCAGAGCACAGTGGTAAAAAAAAAAACAAAAAAAAAATCAAAGTTTATAATAGTCTTAAATATTAAAAACCACGAAGTTTCAATAAAAATATAATGTATCGCTAACAAATATCTTTAAAAAAATAAATCTATGGATAAAAAGAATTTAGTTTATAATGGTTATTGTACTATCGTAAGAATAATTAATATTTTGATTTAAAACCTGATTATAATGATAATATCTTAAAATATGTCATAATTTTTAAATTGGATTCAGTTGGATGTTATATTTTATAACGGATTTGTTGGAATTTTTATTGCTCAATATTGGTGAAAAAATATATTTTAATTATTTAAGCATAATTTATTTATTATGAGTTACATTTAAAGAATTAATCATAGTATAGTTAATATTATCAAATAAAATTAAATAATAATATGTGTAAAATAACGTCTACTTAATAAAAATAAGATTCTGGAAATGCGTAAAATTATTTTTTTGTAATTGTAATATGAAATTAATGATATTGTAGGAAATGATAGACGAAGCAGATAAAGATGGTGATGGTGAAGTCAGCCAAGAAGAATTCCTACAAATTATGAAGAAAACCAATTTATATTAAATACATATTTCATCCCTGTTCTATCAAAAACATTATTTATTTGTGTGTACACTATTTTGTAATAACATTTCACAATTACCATTTAAATTAACACCTAATATTTTGTAAATGCCTATTTCCTTCATACATTATTAACAGCATTTCCCTTAAAAAAATTAAGGTACCTGATAATTAATATACAAATAAAAACAGAAAATAAAATTTTTTTTTTGAAAAATCAATGTGGTTTAATATTTTAAAACAATATCATATAATACTTTCCCATACTAAACTATTCATTGTTGTATTATATTTTAAATATCATGATGTCAATCATAAGTATAATATTAATACATCA